TGGTGGGTACTGGCAAGATCATAGGTAGGTCAGAATTCAACAAACCACATACATGCACGAGAAGATTGTATTAAAATTTGTAGAGGTTGACATTCCAATTGGTGATATGGCAGTTCATTTGAAGATATATTTGACCTCAATTATTTCATTTTATCCTTGAGAGACGAGGTTCGGATACTGAAAGAGCTGCCTCAAAAAGAGAAAAGGCTCGTTGAATCAGAATCGGTGTACTGCATGTATCCTATTAGTTTTGCCAGCATGAAATATTACTATGACAAGGTTCGTTTTCTCTTTTTATTTCATGTCATTGGTGATCTCCAATTCTACAAGGGAGCAAATCTCATTGGTAATCTAACATTTGCAATTACAGGTTCTTCCTCGCATAAAGGCCCATCAAGTCGTGCGTTTCACTCTGGCTGATGCCAGGCTTGCTAATAATGGTCTACCTGATGAGGTTCAAAAACTGCGGTGTCGAGCATATTACAACGCAATGAGATTTACACAAGAAATTGAAGAGATGGGTCAAAAGATTGTTAGCATTCTAAGGCAAATAGGTCCTTTCTTGGTTCTTCATCTCAGATATGAAAAAGACATGATTGCATTCACAGGTTGCACAGAAGGGTTCACCAAAGAAGAGAGTAAAGAGTTGACAAAGATGAGGTGAACAGGAACAGACCTTTTTAGTTTCTCGCAGTAATATGTACATATATACATTGAAGTAAGATATGGTTTACACTTGATTCTCTATAATGAGGCCAGGATTTGAGCCTGATCAGAAACAAAAGTTGTAAAAAGATCTAACTGGGAACAAATTGTGTTCATGCTTCCCAGATATTCATTCGCAGGATGGAAACATTACCCAATTGATTCTAAGAGAAGAAGGCAATTCGGTTCATGCCCTTTGACTCCGGAGGAAACAGCCCTTTCATTGCAAGCTCTAGGCATTGACAGTAACATGACAATTTACATCGCTGCTGGAAATATTTATGCAACCGAAAAGAGAATGGCAGTACTGAAATCAGCTTATCCCAAGATGGTTGGCAAAGATTTGGTCTTGAGCTTAAACTTCGTAAGCACTATTTCATGGTCAATGTATATAATAGATTGATGTTTTTGTTATGTGAAACAGCTTAGGAAGGAGACTCTACTGGAACCCTCAGACCTTAAACCCTTCCAGAATTATTCAAATCAGATGGCAGCATTGGATTATATAGTGGCGTTGAAAAGTGACATTTTTGTCCCTACTTTTGGAGGAAATATGGCAAGGGCTGTTGAAGGCCATAGACGGTATTTGTTAATAAAATTTTACTTGCATTAACATGGTTTTGCATACGTAATTAACTCTCTGACCTCAAATCTGGAACTGAGAATTTAGTATCTGGATCAAAGATGCTATATGAATTAATTCCCGACAAAAACAAACAATAGGGACCAGTATCACTAGAATCAATTAAACATCAAAGATCTTGTTATATGAATTAATTCACTAGAATCAAATATAGATTGTTGGATTGTTTGACAAGAGAAAACTAATGGCACGTGATTCTTTTGGACAGATACTTGGGATTCAGGAAAACAATACTTCTGGATAGGATGATTGCAGTGAATCTGATAGATCTTCACCGGAACAGAACACTGAGCTGGAAGGATCTCTCAGAAAAAATGAAGGCAGCTCATGCAGAAAAAATGGGGCAACCAACAAGAAGAATAGAGAAACCAAACCAACCAAGATACGAGGATTATTTCTATTCTAATCCACATGAATGTTTGACGCAACTTGCAGAACCACCTAGCACATAATTCTTGTTTCAAAACTACTGAATGTACTACATCAGATTTGGCATTACCTAATAAATGGTAATTATGTCTGAAAATGCAGCAATAGGTAACAGTGATTCCACCTTTCCCTCAACTACTACATGACACCAGAGCCTGTAAAATTTAAAAAGAAAAAAGAAAAGAAAAAAGTTCCCCCTGATACTAGTGGAAGACCTCACAACAGAAAATTAAAATCTGAATAAATTTTATTAGCAGTAAAGTTTACAGGGATATTCTTCAGCACCCGCCAAGATGTTGGGAGCATAAAGAACTCAGAGGAAGAGAAAAAACTTTAAGGTAATGTTAGAAGATTAAAGAAATAAAAGGAAATTGGTGTTTAAAAACTAGAGGGCAACATAAACACAGCGTCGGGATCTACCACCAAGAGTATACTCTTGGAAGATGGAGGTGGGGTCTTGGCACAATTCAGAAAAACAATATTAATACAGGACCCGACCACGGGCAAAATTGAGTTTAGATGAAGAAAGGTGCGAAGTTAGGACAAATTCAACTTGAGAGATGTCACAATCCCAGACCTAAGACGGACTTGTGTTGCAGTTCCAAGTCTTGATCCCAACCTAACCTAAGACCTAAGACTCCATCAAAGACTCAAGATGT